CCTGCCAACCCCCATCTGGAGGAGGCTCAGCAGCTTCTCCAAAACCCCTCCCCCACCTCAGTGCAGTTCCAGGCCCTGAGTCTCACCTGCTTGGTTCTCACCTTCTGGGATCTGGAGGAGCAGCAGCAGCAGTGGAGGCAAGCAAGCAGCAGCAGGAGCAACACAGTGCCTAGGGGCGGGACAGGTGTCCAGACATGGCCCTCTGACTAGGGCCTGGCTTGTGAGGCTGATGAGCCAGAGGCAGAACCCACACTCACCCAGGAAGAGGAGGAAGATAATAAAGGCAGCCGTGTCCCACGTGGACTGGAACAGTTTGTGGCTCCTCAGTTTCCCCAGCACTTCCTCGGCTGTGGACTCCAGCTCCTTCAGGTTGTCCATCTCAGCTGGAGGGTTGTGGGTGCCACCTGCCTTAGCCCCACAGGGAGCCCCTTAGAGCCCTGGGCTCCTTGGGGGGCTGGGCCACATACAGGCTTCCCACAGTCCAGTCCTTGCCCCTTTCGCACCTTCCCTCTGGGCCCCAGTTCCTGCCCCAGACTCTCTTCCTCTCTTCTCCTTGCTCATCCCTTCTCTGGGCCCTGAACCTGACCTGGGCAGCCCCTTCCCCTTCCCAGCCCCCCAGCAGCCCCACACCTAGACCCAACCTGCCTCGGAGATCCCCAGCCTGGCAGGTCCTAACTCCTAGGAGCACAGACTGCTTCCTGCTTCCGGATCCACTATACCTGAGGCCTTGGCAACCAGCCCCACTCTCCCCAGGGCTGTGGGAAACCAGGAGGGCGGGGCCTGTGTCCCAGCAGGTGTGCTTCCTGCCCGTGATACTGTGGGACTGGGCCTCCAGAGGAGGCCACAGGCCTGTCAGCCTCCTCATCCCAGGGCGTTCCCACTTTTTCTCAGTAGATCATACAAGCAGGCCAGGACAATGGGCACTAGGCTGCTGTTGACTTTGTGAACAAAGAAAAGACAAAAATGGAAGGAGGAAGGAAGGTAAAAAGGAGAAAGGGGAAGGGAGGGAAGAAAAGTTGTGTCCATTCCACCACTCCTCCTTGGGCAGCGGGGTATGTCTGACACCACACTAGGAGTCTTGGATACCTATTTTATCTGTTCTAATCCTTGCAATAACCCTCTGGTTATCTCTCAAATGAACTTTTTCCCAGAACTAGGGGCCAGAGGCCCCTAACCCTGCCAGCTCTCACTCCTGCTTTCTTGTAGAGCACAGATGTGTCCAGGCCCACGAGGGGCCAGAGACAGCTCAGCATTTGAAGTTGGCTATACACGAGGAGACTCAAGTTCTTGTTCTTGTAGTGCTTATGGTTAGCAGGGGAAACATATCAGCTAATGTTAGGCTATACATGTAACATTACCTCATTTATTTCCCATGGCAATCTTACAGTGGGTATTATTGCTATTTCCATTTTACAGATGTGAAAACTGGGGCCTTGAGAACCTCAGCTCAAGTCACACTTCTAATGGATTCTTTTCTTAAACAAAAACAAAAACAACATTTTATTCATTTATTTTTGAGAGGGAGAGAAACATCAACATGTCATTGGCTCTCACACGCCACCCACCCTCTGCTCCCCCCACAGGGGACATGGCTAACAACCCAGGCATGTGCCCTGACTGAAAATTGGACCAGCGACCCTTTGGTTTGCAGGCTGGCAATCAATCCACTGAGCCACACGAGCCAGGGCAAGGATTCATTTATTTTTGTCACTATAACATACTACCACAAACTTGGTGGCTTAAAACAATACAATTTTATTACCTCACAGCTCTGGAGGTTGGAGTCCAGATGGGTTGGCAGGGCTGTGTTCCTTGCCGAGGCTCTAGGGGAGAAGCCATTCCTTGCCTTTTCCAGCTTCTAGAGGCCACATTCTTTGGTTCATGCTTCAGCCCCATCACTTTAATTTCTGCTTCCATCCTCACATCTCTGACTCTACCTTCCTGCCTTTCTCTTATAAGGAACACTGTCATTACATTAGCCCCCAGGATCATCTCCCCAGCAAAATTCTTTTTTAAATTGTATTTTTTCCATTACCATTTATCCCCCTTATACTCCCCTCTCCCCCCCCCCACAATCACCGCACTGTTGTCCATGTCCATGAGTCCTTTTGCCTTTTTGCTTGATCCCTTCACCCTTGTCCCCAGCAAAATTCTTAATCACATCTGCAAAGACCCTTTTTGCCACTTAAAATAACATATTCACAGGTTCCAGGGATTAGGATGGAAATATCTTAAGGGACCATGATTTGCCAGCCACACCCAGTGAGCAGAAAAGCCAGAACTGGGACCCAGGCATTGGGCTTCCAGAGCCCTTGACCATCATGTCACGGGGTTTCCTTTGCTGTGATCCCCATCTTACACCCTACCTTCATTCCCTCCATCTCGTTTTGAGATCTCAGATTCCTGTCGTAGAGGGAGGGTGATTTTGAAATGACTGGAATGTTCTTTTGCAGGTGTTCTCTTCAGGGGACAGGTGCGGCCACTGTGGAAAACAGTCTGGCAGCTCCTGGCAACGCCACGCCTAGATGTACACGGAGGAGCACTGGAAACGCATACTCAAAGACTGTACACCACTCTTCACAGCAGTAGTAATCACAGCAGCCAAACAGTGGAAACAACCCAAGTGTCTATCCACTGGTAAACAAATAAAATGTGGCCCATCTGTGCAGTGGGATACTATTCACAAGAGGGAATGAAGCACTGACACGTGCTACAACATAGATGAGCCTCAGGAACATGATGCCATGTAGGAGGGGCTAGTCACAGAGGCCGCATCGTGTGAGTCCATTTATGTGAAATGTCCAGAACAGACAAATCCTTAGAGACGTGAAATAGTGGTTGCCAGGGAATAGGAGGTGGGGAAGTGAGTGCTCAGTGGTTATGAGGTTTCTTTTTGGGGTGATTAACATGTCCTGCAACTAGATACAGGTCGTTTAGCAACATTGTGAATGTTCTAAGTGCCACTAATCAGTTTACTACAAAATTAACTATCAGTTCATTTCACATTGTGTGAATTTCATCTCCATTGGAATAACAGGGAAGGAAGCAAAAACTGCAGCCCCTGCGCCTCCCCCTTGGCCTGGCTGGGTGGTGGGAAGCCACAGTCTCCTCCCTCCCCACGGGCCTCACACTACCCAGACCCCTGGGTGCCCCGTCTCTTGTCTGTCATTCCCATCACAAACATGAAGCCTTCTCATTAGAGAAAATCTGGGAAACTCCAAGGTGTTAAAAGACAAAACCACCCAAGAAGCCCCTGGACCCCCAAAGGGCAATGATGGAGTTGGGGTTCAGGCAGGTCTGACCCCGAGACTCGGACCTGGTCCCAGCTCTTAACACCCACCAGTGTGTGACCTGGAGCACGTCGCTTTGACCACTCTCTGCCTCGATTTCCTCATCTGTAAGACATGTGTGAGAACAGTATCACCCCACCCCACTTGTTGTGAGGATTGACCAAAATGATCGACATAAAAGTTCCAGTAACACAATGACAAACACGAGAAAACAGGCATTAAGTGGCTGTGTACTAATCTCACTCAACTTGTGGCTGTGATTCCCTCCAGTTCTTTCTCCTCAGTATACATTTGGGCTCACCCGCCAACTTCACACTGCTCAGACCACGTCACCCTCTGCCTCTCCCTATCAACATAGCCAGGAGTGTCTTGCAAAATACCTGCCACTTTCTGCAAGCCTGACCCTCCAGTTCACAATCCCTATGGGTACCCATAGGGGTGCCCACTGAGGCTTTCTTCCCAACATTTTTCAGAATTCTACATCACTCACGTGTGATGGTTTTCCTAGAGACAGTGCTTTCTCTGCAGAAAGTCTTATTTCCTTAGGAGACATTCCCAGAAGCAGAAAGTGCCCCTGTGTAAGGTCAGGCCACGTGTTCCCGGCACTCTGGTCATCTGCACGCACTTAAGTTCTCGTTTGCTTCAATGAAGCCAGCTTTGCCGAATCCCTCAAGAGCTGTGGAGCTATAACTTGAGAAATTTTTTAAAAGATTTTATTTCTCTATTTTTAGAAAGAGGGGAAAGGAAGGAGAAAGACAGGGAAAGAAACATCACTGTGTGGTTGCCTCTCACATGGCCCCCACTGGGGACCCGGACTGTGACCCACTCATGTGCCGTGACCAGGAATTGAACCAGTGACCCTCTGGTTCTGAGGCTGGCACTCAATCCACTGAGCCACACCAGCCAGGGCTGAGAGATTTTTTTTCTGCTGGGAATGGAACCATGTTCAGGGCAGGCTCCGTCCCCATCCTCCTGCCCCAGGGCCTGCCCAGCCCACTCCCAGCCTCCAAGCCTTGAGAGTGATGGTTAAGCCTCTTGTCAGATGTGTAGAAGATGGGGGATAGAAGACTGTGGGCAGAGAGGGACAAAAGGCTAGTTGGGGCACAAGATAGTTTAAGTGAGTGGACTGGGACAGAGTTGGTGAGTCCCAATGGACATAGTGGGGGTCAGTGAATAGTTTTAATGGCATACAGTCACACCCTTCCCTTTAATTTTCTGCTTTCACAGTCAAAGAGTAGTTGCAACAGAGATCTTATGATCTCTGTTGCAAAACCTAAAGCCTATATACTATCAGAATTATTTATCAACATCTTAGACAGAGGATTGCTTAGGGCTTGCCAATGCAGCTGCCAGGAAACAGGTGAGAAAGAAGTGAGTGAGGTGAACTTGGTGTGAGAAACATCAGGGAGCAGTAGGGACGGGTGAGGACTACACAAACTGAAGAGCACATGGCCCAGCCAAAGAGGGCAGCTTGAGTCAGCTGTGGGCTAGGCCCAGAGTTGCCAGGGCTTGCAATCTCTAAGATACATTAGAAATCTAGATGTTTGTGTGAACAAGTAAAGAGGCTGAAGAAGATGAGCACATGGCCTCAGATTTCACCTCTGCCACTTCCTCACTGTGTGACCTCGATCAACGCCCTTGACTCTCATATCTATAAACTGGGCATAGTAACAGCACCTGTTTCATAGGGCTGTGATGATTATTAAACATGTTCCCCCGCTCAGGCCCCATGAACAAGGTCATGCTGAGACTAAGCATGGGGTAAGTATTTGCTAAATTAATGCTTTGGTTTTCTAATCCTGCCAGTTTAAAACTATGGTGCCAGCTGTGGGCAGACCAAAGAAAACACATGGATGTTCTGCTTCCAGCCCTAGGTCATAAGTTTGCAGCGTGGTTAAGAGGCATGAACTTGGAAGCCAGGGAGGCTGGCTGAATGAAGCCCAGCTTTGCCACTCGTACCATCTAGGTGACCTTGGGCAACAAAGCTGCCCTGGGCACCTCGGGTTCCTGTCTATAGTGCTAGGCCAGAGTCATTGTGAGGATTACAGGGTAGCGTCCTGAAAGGGCCTGGAGGAGCAGCTTACCTGTCTCTGCCATCAGGCTCCGCTCCCTGCGATGGGGGATCCCCCTGAGTGGGGTCACAGGGAGTGGGTGGGGCTCTGATTCTTCAGTTAACTGTCATCCTCTCCCCTCCCCCTCACTACAAACACAAGAATCTACCAGGACGGGGCACCCCCTAAAGTTCCCACAGGAACCTAGGGCCTCCAGGTGCCACACCAGGCCACTTTTCTCTCTCTGTCCCCCACAGGTCTGGCCCCCGGGCTTTGCTGGGGAAGAGTCTGAGAGGAGAGTCTGCCTGGGCCATAGGTGCGTCAGGAGGGGGAGCTGGGCGAGGGGAGGAGCAGATCTCTGGGACTGGCGCATGTTGGGAATGGAGCTCAGTCTCCCTCCAGAGGCAGGTCCCCAGGGCACCTCTCGCCACAGCCCTTGGGCCCTGGGGGCTTGGGGGTTAGAAAGATCAGGGGAATTAATGTGGGGGAGTGTCTGGAAGCAGAGCTAAGGAGCCAGGGTTGGAAAGTGAGAACTCGGGTAGTCTGCCTCTGGAGCCCCAGCAATCTTCTTCTCCCCACCTCACCCAGATGACAGGCGTTGTTGTGCCCTTTGCCCCATGGACCCCCTGAGGCGATCCCCCTCTCCCTGCTCATCAAGGGCCTCCAGCCCCAGGACCCCGCCCTGCGAGATGTTTGGTTTTGTGGGCATTGAGGCCGTGCTGGACCAACTGAAGATCAAGGCCATGAAGATGGGTTTTGAGTTCAACATCATGGTGGTGGGTGAGTGAGGGGCAGGGGCTCACAGGAGGACAGACCAATGCGCCAGGGCATGTTGCTCACCTCTCAGGGCCTCTGTCTCCACATCTGTTATAAGGGGGCCTACAGAAGTACCTCACAGGCGTGTTGTAGTTGAAAATCTGGGAAACACTGAACTGTTAAAAGAAAAAAATCACCTATGAAACCCCAGCCAAAACCAAACAGCAATAAAAGAGGTTGCTCAGGCAGGACGTGGTGAGTGCCCGTGCTCAGATCCTGGTCCTGGCCCTAAACTCACCAACCCACCAGTGTGTGATCTTGGGCACAGTCCCTGACCCCTCTCTGCCTCAGTTTCTTCATTTGACTTAGCATAGTGCCTGGGGTTTCATTGATCCTCCACATGTCAGTTTATCTGGAATTGCTTTTTTTATACATGCCCAGTTAATTTTGTAGGTCAAAAATTAATTTAACAAAACAAACTAGAGATAACAGGACCCAAAATATCAGAGTGTGTATCACCAATTAAGGGTGTTATTCTATGGCAGCAGTATAATAGAAATGTAACATGAGCCACATATGTGATTTTTAAATTTCCCAGTAGCCGCCTTTAAAAAAGTAAAACAGGAGAAATTAATTTTAATCATCTATTTGATGTAACCCAATATGTTCCAAAATGCTATCATCTCAACATGTACTCTGTATAAAAATTGTGAGACCTTTTACATTCTTTATGTCATACCAAGTCTGCAAAGCCTGGTTCGCATTTCCAATTGAGGGTACATCTCAATTCAGACCTGCCGTTTTATAAGTTGTAATAGCAGGTGTGGCTAGTGTATTGGACAGCACAACCCTAAGGACAATTTAAGTAATATACACAAAGGAGTGTCCTGTGTTGTAAAGTAGGATGTTTCCTACTGGGGGACATAGTCCACAGAGTTGGAGAACCACCTCACACCCCACAGGCAGGATGAGTGAATTTCACCAAGTAGCAAAAGAAGCCAGACACAAAAGAGCACCTGCTGGGTGATTCTCTAGATCAAGGGTGGGCAAAGCTGCACCCTGTTGATAGAAGTCAAAAGAACGGCTGTCCCTGGGGGACTGGGTTAATAGTCACTGAGATGGGGGCATGAGCAGGCTTGTGGGGAGCTGAGGGTTCTATTTCATGATCTGCTGCTGTGTATACAGGTTGTTTAGTTTATAAAAACTCGTTTAACTCCCCGTCAATGGACGAATGGATAACCACACTGTGGTCTGTCCATCCAATGGAATATTATTTGGCCATGAAAAAGAATGAAGAGGTGATGCATACTACAATATGGATGGGCTCTGGCTGGTGAGGATCAGTGGATTGAGTGTCGGCCTGTGAACAAAAGGGTTGCTGGTTCAATTCCCAGTCAAGGCATATGCCTGGGTTTCAGTCCAGGTCCTCAGTACAGGGTGTGTGAGAGGCAACCACACACTAATGTTTCTTTCCTTCTCTTTCTCCTTCCTTTCCCTTCTGTCTAAAAATAAATAAATAAAATATATTTTTTAAAAAGGAGGAACTTTGAAAACTTTAAGCTGAGTGAAAGAAGCCACACACACAAAAAGATAAATATTGCATGAATCCATGCATATAAAATATATAGATAGGTAAATCCATAGAGATAGAAAGTAAATTAATGGCTGCTGGGGGCTGGGGAAGAAATGGAAATGACTGCTTTATACTTTAATTGGGGGGTGATGAAAGTATTTTGGGGCTAGACAGAGGTGGTGGTTACACAACACTACAAATGTACTAAATGTTTTTGAATTATTTACTTTAAATGGTTACTGGTTAATTCTTTTATTATATGAACTTTACCTCATAAGTAAAAGGGTAAGCATGGAGGTGGACACTTAGGTAGCATACACTTTTCTATATTATGTTATACTTAGTAAACAGTTCACTTTCTAAAAAGATTTATTTAAGAGTTTGAGAAACACTGCCTAAAATGTCCACTGTTATTGCTGTCATGTGGTTACTCCCAGGGCAGAGTGGGCTGGGCAAGTCCACAATGGTGAACACACTCTTCAAGTCCAAGATGTGGAAGTCCACCCCACCAGGCCTGGGGCAGGGGCCCATGCCCCAAACGCTACAGCTGCACTCGGTGACCCATGGTAAGTGAGACCCCCAGCCTCACCCTCATCCTCACCCTGCCCCAACCAGGCCCAGTCTCTTCCTCTCTGCACGCTCCCTCCACAGTCATCGAGGAGAAGGGTCTGAAGCTCAAGCTGACTGTGACCGACACACCTGGCTTCGGGGACCAGATCAACAACGACAAGTGGTGGGTTGGTCTTCTAGAGTGGGGCTGAGCCCTGATCACCCTGGTCCCTGCCCCTCCAGCCCCTGGGAAATATCTGAGCCCTGGAACAACCTGGCTGTTATCTCTGAGCCTCAGTTTGTCTATATAATGAATGTATGCCTTTCTCCCTCCACGATCGAAGGGCATCAGTATGTAAAGTTTTAGCTTGCTGTCTGACACACAGTAAGCACTCAATAAAGGTTATAATATAGCAGGGGTTAGAAGCCCACACTCCAGAGTCAGGACCCCTGGGTTAGACCACTTTCTAGCTGCCCAACCTAGGACTAGTCACAGAAGCTCTCTGAATCCCAGTTTCCTTCTTTCGAATTTGGAAATGATGACACCCACCTTGCAGAGGTGTTCAGGGCTCTCAGTGAGACACACACATACACACACAAAATCAGCATTGGCTGCCTAATTTGTGGGACCCAGTGTAATGAAAATGTGAGGGCCCTTGTTCAAAAATTATCAAGAATTAGACTTCCAGTAAAAATAAAGGCATACACACTCTTCACCTCCTTGCACAACCACAGAGAGAATTACAACAATATCTCAAAACAAATAACAACCAGAATTGTCAGAAAATTAGTCCCACAACCAAGAATGTAAAGAAGCCACATTCATCCAGACTGGTGGGAGGGGCAGAGTCACTGAGATGAGAGGACAGGCACAGAGATGTGGTGTGGCGTGGAGAGGTGGCGGTAGCAGAATGGGCAGTCCCAACTCACAAGTGTAGATAAAAATCAAGAGGGATACATTGGGATCGAGGTATCCCAGCCCCAGGCCAGACCACACAGCCCAGGGTTCCAGCACTGGGAGGATAGATCCCCATAACTTCTGGCTGCAAAAACCAGTGGGGACTGTGGTGGCAGAAGACACTGCTGGATTTTGAGGAGAGTCTGTTTAAAGGGCCCAAATGGACTTAAAACATACCCAAACCCACCCACTCGGGGATTCACGACTAGGGAGCAGCTGGAAGGGTGCCAGTCACATACAGGAAGTGGGTGAAGTGACTGGAATCAGGGCAAGTGCTAGACAAACCTCCAGGAGCCAGGCAGCAGCATTGCCCCTCTCCAAGCACCCGCCACACACACACACACACACACACACACAGCCACAAAGCAGTGAAGCAGGTTGCCCTGCCCTGGTGATTACCTAAGGCTCTCCCCACACAATTTACAGGTGCCTTTTCTAAGACAGGGAGTCAAAGCAGCTCTACCTAATATATAGAAACAAACACAGGGAGGCTGTTGAATTGAAGAAACAAAGAAATATGGCCCAAATGAAAGAATGGAACAAAACCCCAGAAAACGAACTAAACGAAACAGAGATAGCCAACTTATCAGATGCAGAGTTCAAAACAATGATGATCAGGATGCTCAGAGAACTCACAGAATACATCAAAAACATAAGGGAAGAATAAAGGTACACTAAGTGAAATAAAGAAAAATCTGCAGGCAACCAATACTGGAGAGGATGAAGCTGAGAATCAAATCAACGATTTGGAACACATGAAAGGAAAAGGCATTCAATCAGAACAGCAAGAAGAAAAAAGAATTAAAAAATTCAAGGATAAGCTTAGGAATCTCTGGGACAACTTTAAATGTACCGACATTCAAATCACAGAGGTGCCAGAAAGAGAAGAGGAAGAACAGGAAATTGAAAACTTATTTGAAAAAATAATGAAAGAAGACTGCCCTAATTTGGCAAAGGAAATAAACATACAAGTTCAGGAAGCAGAGAGTCCCAAACAAGTTAGACCAAAGAGGACCATACCAAGACACATCATAATTAATATGCAAAAGGTTAAAGACAAAGAGAGGCTCTTAAAAGCAGCAAGAGAAAAACAGAGAGTTACCTACAAAGGAGTTCCCATAAGACTAGCAATTGATTTCTCAAAAGAAATTTTGCATTCAAGAAGGGACCAGCAAGAAGTATTCAAAGTGATAAGAAGCAAGGGCCTATAACCTAAATAACTCTATCCAACAGAGCTATCATTTAAAATAGAAGGGCTGATTGTTCCTCAGCCTTTTAGCGAAGATGAAGTGTAACATGGAAGAGCAGATAAAGTGCTTCCCAGACAAGGTAAAGCTAAAGGAGTTCATCATCACCAAGCCATATTACATGAAATGTTAAAGACTTATTTAAGAAAAAGGAGAGTTTCCCTGGCTGGTGTAGTTCAATGGACTGAGTGCCAGCTTATGAACCAAAAGGTTGCTGGTTTGATTCTCAGTCAGGGCACATATCTGGGTTGCAGGCCAGGTCTCTTCCCCTCTCTCTCTAAATAAATAAATAAAATGTTAAAAAAAGAAAAAGAAGATCAAAACTATGAGCATTCACAACTACCAACTGAATCTAAAAAAAAAAAAAAAACAAACAAACTAAGCAAACAACCAGAACAGGAACAGAATCACAGAAATGGAGATCACGTGGAGGGTTATTTATTTGTAGGGAGGGGAAGAGGCAGAATGTGGGAAAAGGTAGAGGGAATAAGAAGCATAAATAGTAGGTACAAAGTAGACCTATTTTAGACCAGGGGGAGGTTAAAAATAGTATAGGAAATGTAGAAGCTAAAGAACTTACATGTATGACCCAAAGATGTAAACTAAGTGGGGTGGGGATTGCTGGAGGGAAGGTGGGTACCAGGTGGAAAGGGATAAATGGGGGAAAATTGGGACAATTGTAATAGCATAATCAATAAAATCTTTTTTCAATTATCAAGAACTCTAAGACCACAACCACAGAACATTCAGCCAAGCATGGCCCTTCTAAATACAGAGCCCTGTGCTCCATTCGCCCTCCTGTGAAGCTGACACCTCACAAGATACATTGGGCACTTACTACATGCGAGCTCTCTTCTAGAACTGGGGGCACAGCAACAAACAAAACAGAAGAACATCCTAGCCTACATGGAATTTACATTGTCACAGGGGTGAAGTAAGAGGAACAAAACAATCAGCTATACAGAAAGTGAGCCTGAACTCTATCATCCAAACAGGACATTTCTGAGAGTGAAAGGGGTACAGAGCTGTAGGGGTGGCAATTTTAAGCAGAGTGAACAAGAAAGGCCTCCAGGAAAAGGTGACATTTGGGTGCAAACTTCCAAGACGAGAGAATAAGCCATGTGGTCATAGGGAAACAAGTGTTCAAGGCTGAGGGTGACATGTACAAAGGCTCTGAGGTAGGTAGGCTGGTGTGGCTGGCAGGGCAAGAGCAGCAGGGAGAGGAGAGGGGCGGGTAGGCAGGGAGCAGTGGTAGGGTGGTATAGGGCCTTGTAGGGCAATGTAAGGACTTTGGCTTTTGTTCAGTTCCTGGAAGTTGGGCAGAAAAAGGATGTGACCTAACTCCTGCTTTTGGAAGGACCTCCTTGGCTGCTGTTGAAAACAACCCACAAAGGGAAGGGGCCCAGGGAGTGGAGTTAGGAAATCCTTACCAGAATCAGGCAAAAGTCCACAGTGGTTTGAACCAACAGCAATTTCTCTTGTTTAATGCTCACTCCCCCCAGCCCAAAGTAGGTGTTCTTATTGTCCCCATTTTATAGACAAGGAGGTTGAGCCTCAATTTTGAGAACAGCAAGGGGGCCTCTCTGATGATACAAAGGAATAAGGGTGGGGGAGTTGGGGTGGAGAGTGTACTTGGGTGCTCAAGCACCTCAAGTTGTACAAGACCAAAGGTCCTGCACCCTGGGTGAACATGTTAATTGGTCATCGGCAGGGGTGACCACCCAAAGAACTCAGGGAGACAGGTGGGGCTCCTGGGCACAGTCCTGAAGTCGGATCCATCTCCTGCCCCAGCTGGGACCCCATCCTGGGCTACATCAATGAACAGTATGAGCAGTACCTGCAGGAAGAGATCCTCATCACCCGCCAGCGTTACATCCCCGACACCCGGGTGCACTGCTGTATATACTTCGTGCCGCCCACTGGGCACTGGTGAGGTGGTTGGGCCAGCCAGGGCAGAGAGGAGTAGGAGGAGGGAGAGAAGGGGTTCTCGGCATGGGCTGTGGGCTGGCACCCCCTCACTCACACACTTGCTGCTGCCACTGTCACCGCCATCACTGCCCTGGCTGAGCAGCCTGCGGCCCCTGGACATCGAGTTCCTGCAGCGGCTATGCCGGACTGTGAATGTGGTGCCCGTGATCGCCCGGGCGGACAGCCTGACCATTGAGGAGCGAGAGAACTTCAGGCGCAGGGTGATCTGGGTGCCTGGGACGAGGCTGGGGGTGGTGCAGGTGGGGAGGGGGTGGAATACACAGGCTGAGCTGAGGTTACCTGTGTGTGGCCCCCAGATCCAGCACAACCTGAAGACTCACTGCATCGATGTGTACCCACAGAAGTGCTTTGATGAGGACATCAGTGACAAGATCCTCAACAGCAAGATTCGGGTAGGAGGCCATGAGGGCAGGGAGGCTACTGTGACAAAGAGTGATTCTCTTTCCATTCATCCTCTCTTTTTTTATATATTCTATTTTTTTAATTTTAATTGTTGTTCAAGTAGTTTTCTGCCCTTTACCCCCATCCCAGCCCACTCCCCTCCATTCATCTTTTCATCTGAATATTACATCGAGGGGAGAATTCATATATTTCCAGCAGACATAAATCATCCAAACACTTAAGATGAACAAGAAATAGGTCATATCAACAACTCATAAATAAGAGAAAATATTTGCAAATCTATATCTGAAAAGGGACTTGTACCCTAATTATATAAAGATCTCTTACAAATCAACAATAAAATACAACCCAACTTAAGAACGGGCAAAGGATCTTGAATAGACATTTCTCCAGAGATTTAGAAGGCTGGCCAGTGAGCATATGAAGAGGTGCTCAGCATCCTAAGGGAAGTGCAAATCAAAAGCACAAGATGCGTAATGCCCACTAGGATGGCTATTATCCAAACGACAGACAACAACAAGCGTCAGTGAAGATGTGGAGAAACTGAAGCTCTCACACACCTCTGGGGGGAATGTCAGGTGGTGCAGCTGCTTTGGAAGACAATCTGACAGTTCCTCAAAAGATTAAGCACTAAGTCACCACATGACCCAGTAATTTCTCTCCCAAAAGAAATGAAAACCCATGTCCACATAAAAACTTGTACACAGATGTTCATAGAATTATTCATAACAATCCACATGTCCATAAACTTGGGAATGTATAAAAAAAGTGGTATATCCACACAATGGAATATTGTAGCCATAAAAAAGAATTAATTTCTGGTAGATGCTGCAACATGCACAAACCTTGAAAACATGATGCTCAGTGGGAGAAGGCAGACAGACATAAAAGGCCACACGTTGAATGGTTTTATTATATGAACTGTTCAGAACTGGCAAGTCTATAGAGACAGGAAGTACATTGGTGTTTGCCAGGGGCTGGGGGGCAGGAAGAATAGAGAGTGACTGACTGCTAAAGGAGAGAGGGTTTCCTTCAGGTGGTGATAGAAAATCTCCGGAATTAGGCTGTGGTCATGGTTGCACAATTTTGTGAATATACTAAAACCCACTGGACTGTACCTCTAAAAGGTCACCCTTTTATAGCATGTGATTTATATTTCAAAAAAGCTGTGACAAAAAACTAGTTTTTTGGAAACTATAGTTCCCAAAGAGGGAACTAGCTCTCATCTTCACGTTCTCTGAATTAACCGAATTGCAACTCCAAGCCCCTATGCTGCTCTCCTCACAAAGCATTCAATGTCAGTCTATCTGGAATGAGCAAAACACCTGGGCAAGGTCTGGGGTCCACCACCCATAGACACCAGGCCTCGACTCCCTCCCCAAGGAACCCTGCTCACCTACACAGTACTTTTGCTTGGATTAGAAAAAAGTATGCCCTGGCTGGTATAGCTCAGTGGATTGAGCATGGGCTGCAAACCGAAGGGCCGCCAGTTTGATTCCCAGTCAAGACACATGCCTGGGTTGCAGGCCAGTTTCCTAATGCGGCCACGAGAGGCAACCACACACTGATGTTTCTCTCCCTCTCTTTCTCCCTTCCTTCCCCTCTCTCTAAAAATAAATAAATAACATCTTTTTTTTTTAAGAAAAAAGCAACAGCTGCTTCATAGTGGGGGCCTACCCTTGACTTCTGCCCTGCACAGCTGCCTGACCAAGTGTTTGTGCAGCACACAAACTGCACAGCAGCACACGGAGGCCCTGCCTCCTGCACCTGATTTTTCTGCACTCTCCCTCTTTCCCTCCCCACCAGAGCAATGAATAGGATTTCCTATGAGAGTTGAGCACCCTGGCCTTTACCACCTCTGCATTCTGTCCTGAGGTGGGCGAAGACAGCAGCCTAGCCACCGCTGGAACAGAGCTGGGGGAGTACAAGCAACACATTCTCAAATTAAAAACTCAATAGATCATCCAACATAACATTTATTGAGCATTTAGTTACTACCAGCTGGCACATAATAAATGTACAACAAATGGTTACTATTATTAGCATCAATATTATTCCCTGTTATAAATTAATTCTAGAAATAAAAACAAACCCATAAACAGCACTTTAGAGTTTACAAGCTTGAATCTCTGCTTCTGGTCAAGAGCAAGTAAACAACTAGAATTTATAACAGGGTAAGCAAACATTTTTTTAACTTATTGATTTGAGAGGAAGAGGAAGGGAGAGAGAAAGACATCGATTTGTTGTTCCACTTATCGATGCATTCATTTGTTGATTCTTGTATGTGCCCTGACTGGCGTTCGAACCCACAACCTTGGCATATCAGTACAATGCTCTAACCAACTGAGCTGCCCAGCCAGGGCCAAGGCTTTAGCAAACATTTTCGTGACAGGCCAGGGGATGGTAAATACAGGGTGGGGCAAAAGTAGGTTTACAATTGTGAGTGCACAAAACACACTTTATTCTTGTGTTATTGTGTATTAATTATTATATTATTTTCCATACGAACAACTATAAACCTACTCTTGCCCCACCCTACATTTTAGACTGTGTGGGCCGAGTGGTCTCTGTCGCAATTCCTCAGCTCTGCTGTGGTTGTGTGAAAGCCACACAGACAAGAGTAACTGAGTGGACAGGGCTGTGTGCCAATACACGTTACAGAGGAAAATGGGAGGTGGGCCGAGCTGGCCCGTGAGCGGTGGGGGCCCTCCCCTGGTTTACGAAATTATCCTGGTAACTGTTGAATGTGATTACTCTTCCTGTTTCATAGGTAAGGTAAGAAATTGATGTTAGCAAGATTTTAGTAACATGGCTATTTGTACAGACAGTTGCAAGGGTTACTCTGCTAACCCTTAATAATGCTAAACACTTTGCAAACATTCACAAAGCTCTCTATCATTACTGTTAAAGTTCTCACTCTACAGATGAGGAAACTGAGGCACTGATTTGACTTTGCATCTTCTAACTTATTAGCTATCTTGTGCTCCTTCTACCACTTTCTCTTCCCACCAATGACAGCACCCCGTTGGGATCTTCTCTCCTCACCTGCCTGGTGGGGCCAACCCTCTGGTTTTGTCCCCTCCCTGCAGGACCGGATTCCCTTTGCTGTGGTCGGGGCTGACAGAGAGCACTTGGTGAATGGGAAGTGTGTGTTGGGCCGGAAGACGAAGTGGGGCATTATTGAAGGTCAGTGCAAGTATTTAGGGAGGACGCAGGTGAGAATGGGTTGGAAACCAGGGTACATCTTACTGTCTTTGGAAAACTTAGCAGCCATCACGTGATCCCAGTGACTAAGCCCACAGCCCAGGAACAGAGGCCTGAGATCAAGCCCCTCTTTGCAGCTGGGAGGCATCAGAAAAGCTGTTGGCTCTCTGGGCCTCAGTTTCCTCACAGCAAAAATGAACATGATGGTGACAGCGACCTCACAGGGTGGCTGGAGGGGGCAGAGCCACCACTTTGGACAGTGCCCAGCACCCAGAAGGCACCCTATTCGTGCACCAGAATTTGTTGAGAGCCCTACTATGTGCTGGGCATTCTACATGCAGTTCCTAAGGAGGAGAAAGTAAAAGTAGGACCAACAGGGTCCCTGTCCTCATAGAGCTGGCAAGACAATGACAGATGGGAGAAGCACAGTGAAGGAAATGTGTGAGGTGGGAGAGGGGTTGCTACCTGAGGAGGGCCCTGCTGAGGATAAGACTAGAAGGTAAAGGAGCAGTGGTCAAATCTGATGAGCCCCTGATATATCAAAATAATTATTTAAAGTAGAATATAATATATATTATCTTGTGTATATACTATATTATCGTATGCATATACCATATATAGTATAATGTATACATGTGGTGTATATATAGGGTATAATATAGATATGATAATGTTGCCATTATTACATATATAATAATAAATGAGCAATGGACTCATTGATTTAACAACTGTTTGTAGGAGCCACCTGTACCAGGCACTGGGGACACAGCAATGAATGAATGAATGAATCAATGAATCAAGAATGGGAGCTAGGAAAAGACAGGGAAAGGGTGATAGTGGGTGCCGGGTGTTGTGCAGCATACAGTGGGCACTTATTTGGTGCTCAGTGTCCTATCTTGCAGTGGAGAACATGGCACACTGTGAGTTCGCCCTCCTGAGAGACCTGCTCATCCGGTGAGGGTGCAAGTAGCCCAGGGGCTCTGGTGGGCCTGGGGGCCGCAGTGGCCAGCCCAAGCTGACCTGACATCCATCTCCCAGCTCCCACCTCCAAGACCTGAAGGACATCACCCACAATGTCCACTATGAAAACTACCGTGTCTGCAGACTCAACAAAAGCCACATGCTGCCCCGTGGCCCCGGCTGGGTGAACCTGGCCCCGGCACCCCCCAGCACCCCAGCTACCCCTGGGCCCTCGAAGGCTCGCCAGAAGGTCCACAACAATTTCACAGAGGAGTGGTGAGCGCAGGCACAGCCCAGGCCCCTGGGATTCCCCAAGCACTCAGCAGCCCCCCAACACACACCTGTGTACCAGAGCGTGTATTAAATAAAGGTGGACATTGCTTTTTATGAAAAGCTGTACTTTGGGGAAAAAAAGTTTTGTAAATGACTTCTTTGAGCTATCTTCAATAAATTAATGGTTCTTTTTTTTTTCTTTTCTTTTTTTTTTTTTTAAGATTTAGAGAGAAGGGAAGGGAGGGAGAAAGAGAGGGAGAGAAACATCAATTGGCTGCCTTTTCATAGGCACCTAAACGCAACACAACTGAGTCCCAACTGGGACAGAACTTCAACTCAGGCAAGTGCCCTGACTGGGAATCGAACCCTCAACCTTTTGGCTGCAGGATGATGCTCAACCAACTGAGCCACACTGGCCAGGACAAGAATGGGTTTTTTAAAAGTAATAGTATGAGATCCCAGGTCCTGGGGAATCACGGAGACCTTGGACAGCCTGCCTTGATGACGAGACCCTTCTGCCCCAGAACCAGAGTCAAGCCACAAATCAGATTCTGCCCTCCATCCTGACCCTGCCTCCCAACCCAGGACCAGGCCTATGATGTCGTAAACATGCCCACCTTTGACCGTCTTCCCCCACCCCTGTGCCCCCCCACCCTGGCCAACCAGCACAGTGAGAACCAGCTCCAGTTTCAGAGTCTGCCGAAGCTCATGTGAAATCCCTGCTCTGCCACATAACCTTGGGCTAGTCGCTTATTCTTCCTGGGCCTCAGCTTCACCATCTATAAAATGGGATGGCAACATCTCTCCCATAGTATTCTTGTGCGGACAAAATGGAGTAGTTTGTGTAACGTGCCTGCCATTGCCTTGAGAAACGTCTCTCGGACAGACCTGAGGGGAACAGAAGAGAGCTTGGTTGGGGGCGGAGGCCGTGCCTGCAGAGTGTGTGAGCATTTCTCAGGACTTTCTGGAGTGCATGATAATGAAGGGACTTCATAGAAGCCCACCTGGTCGGGACCTGAAGCTCAGTTTAGTTAATAAAAGGATAGGTGACTCCAATGACCTGGAAAGGAACACCCAAACTCCTGTGGAAAGAGAGCATGTGGTGAGCATCTGGTGCAACATTGGGTGTACTAGGGTCCTCCAGAAACCAGATCCAACAGGACACATATACGGAGATACACAGAGGTGGGCAAAAGTAGGTTTACAGATGTTCATATGGAAAATATACAAAATTAACTGTGTTTCACATACTCACAACTATAAGCCTACTACTTTCACCCACCCCTGTATAATGGGAATTGAGTCACACAGTTACAGAGGCAAGAAGTCTCACCATCTGCCATCTGCAGTAGGAGACCCAGAAAACCAGTGGTATAATTTAGTCCGAGTCAGAAAGCCTAAGAATCAGGGACCAATGGTGTAAGTCCCAGCCGAAATTCAAACACCAGAGACCCAGGCTTTCTGATGTCCTAGGGCAGAAGATAGATGTCTCAGCTCAAGCAGACAGAGCAAATTCCCTCTTCCTTGGCCTTTTGTTCTGTTCAAGCCCTTGATGGGCTGACTGAATAATGCCCACCTGCATTAGGAGAGTGGTCATTTTTACAGTCTACTGAATCAAATGCTAATCTCTTCCAGAGACATCCTCACAGATGCACCTAGAAATAATATTTGCCAGCTATCTGGGCATTCTTTAGCCCAGTTGAGTTGACACAAAATTAACCATCACCACAGCTAAAAGTTACCACCTCCATGAAGCCCTCCTTGACTTCTCTAACATACTCAATGCCCAGTCTGTCCATGGATCACATGGTTTGTTTTCTAGTCAATGACCCCCATTAGACTGGGAGCCCTGTGAGGGTAGAGATTGGTAGGCTTCATCCTGCATCTGACAGGTGCTCCAGACTCAGCTATTGAATGAATGAATCCTTCAATGCCTGCCCCATAGCTATTTACCCATCAAATTCATAAAGCAGCTGACTCCAGGTTTGAGGGGACCCACACCATCCACACCAACATTTCAGAGTTGGTGTGTTGCTACCTAGGGACTGAGCACATTCCCAAAGTTAAAATTAGCCCTAGGCAATATGGCAATGCCTACAGCATTTTTAAAGTACACACTGTTTGGCTCAGCAGATGTATTTCTAGGAACATATCTTATAGACAGACAAGGGTTTCTCAACCTCACCATGGATGTTTGAGACCAGATCGTTCTTTGCTGGGAGGGCTGCTCTATGCATTGCAGGATGTTCAGCAGCATCCCTGGATCTCCATGTAGGAGATGCCAATAGCACCGCCCACCCAGCCATGACAACCAAAAATGTCTCTAAACATTGCCCGATGTTCCCTGGGAAGCAAAATCTCCTCAGCTGAGAACCACAGGTAGTGGTGCCCATATAGTAAAGATGAGAAATAGCCTACCTGTCCACCAGGAGTGGACTGGAAAGGAAAGCATAGGACATCTATATTATGCATATTATTTTCCCATGGATGTTGTTACAAGTTAGCACAAATGGGGAGGCTTAAGTGACACACATTTACCTCTCACAGTTCTGGAGGTCAGAAAACTGAAATTGGTATCACTAGGTCAAGATCAAGGTGTCGGTAGGGTTGTGCTGCCTCTGGAGGCTCCTTGCCTTGCCTTTACCAGCTTCCAGAGGCAGCCTGCATTCTTTGACTCTTGGCCCCTCCCTCCATCTCACTTCACTTGTCACATTGCTTTCTGCCCTCGAATCTCCCTCTGCCTTCCTCTTATGAAAACCTTTGTGTGTACACTGGTCCCACTGGGATAATCCAGGATAACCTCCCCATCTCAAACTCCTTAATCACATCTGCAAAGTCTCTTTTGCATATAAAACAACAAATTTATAGGTTCTGGAGCAGGAATTGGATATCTTTGGGTGTCATTCCTCAGCCCACCACACCATGGAATATAACATGGTCCTTAAAAAGAATGAAGTGCCCTGTCTGAGTAGCTCAGTTGGTTAAAGTGTTGTCCTGATGTGCCAAGTTTCAGATTCAATCTTCACTCAGGGCATGTACAAGTATCAACCAATGAATGCATAAATAAGTGGAACAACAAATCAATGTTTCTTGCACGTGCTCTCTCTCTCTCCTTTCCTCTATCTCTTTAAAGTCAATAAATAAAAAAAAATTAAATTTTAAAAAGAATGAAGCAAGACAAACACAGCATGATCTCACTTATATGGGGAATCAAAGAGTAGAACTCATAGAAACAGAGGAGAATGGTGGTTGCCAGGGGCTAGAGGCGGGGAAAAGGGGCAATGCAGGTCGAAGGGAGCACACTTTCAGTTATAAGATGAATAAGTTCTGGAGATCTAATACACAGCATGGCGATCATAGTTAACAATGCTGCGTTATATACTTAACAGCTGCTGAGAGAGTAGATCTTTAATGTTCTCGCCACACACACACACACACAGATAACTGTGTGTTAACTAACCTCTTTATGGTAATCAGTTCACAACATGTTACCCTATCGCCTAAAACTTACACAGTGTTATTTGTCAGTTACATTTCCATAAGCCTGGAGGGGAAAAAATTTGAGGCAGCTTTACAATCACCCACATGTTCTTTCCAGGAAGGGGTCTTCGGAGCCCACTATGCACTGCTGCAGAGGCTGGGGTTCAGGAAGGAACAAAACCAAGTCACTGCCTTCAGAAGCTTGCACCTGGCTGGGGCAGGATGATGAAAAACAAAACAAATAAGTGAAATGCTGAGCATGTTGTACTGTGATGGGCACTCTGGCACCAAGTAAGGCATTTAAGGGGTATTGGACTGCCTAGGGTTGAGGGGGGTTGTAATTGTTCTTTTTTAATTAAGATTTTATTTATTTATTTTTAGAGAGAGGAGAAGGGAGGGAGAAAGAGAGGGAGAGAAACATTGATCAGTTGCCTCTCACATGCCCCTAACTAAGGGCCTGACCTGCAGCCCAGGCATGTGCCCTGACCAGGAATCAAACCGATGACCTTTCAGTTTGCAGGCTGATGCTCAATCCACTGAGCCACACCAGCCAAGGTGAAGGGGGTTTAATTGTAATAGGGACATCAGGGAGGGTCAAAGTGAGAAGAGGACTTTGAGTAAAGATGTGAAGGAGTAAAGGAATAAAGCATGGGAATATGTAGAGGCAGAACATTCCAGACAGAAGGAAAAGAGGGCACTGCAAGTGCAAAGGCCCTGGGGCAGGAGTGTGCTGGATGTGTTCGCCACCAAGAAGGCCTGTGTGCCTCGAGCAACATGAACCAGGGAAGAAAGTAGGGGGAAATGAGAACAGAGAGGAGGGGGGAGGACAGGCCCATGGCCTATAGAATTTGATTCCCTATCATGACTCTATTTCTAGAGATACTGATGGACCACCTCAGGATATTGAGAGGCAAACAGGGAGCAATAGAGTGCATAGCAGATGGCAGCACATGAAGCATAAATATCTTTGGAAAGATACTCAAGACACTGGGGCAAATAGTTGAAAAAAAAAGAGTGGGAAGGACATTTAAGTTTCACTCTATCTCTTTTTTTCAAATATGTTTTTATTGATTTTAGAGAGATAAGGAGGAGACAGAGAGAGAGAAACATGGATTTGTTGTCCAGTTATTTATGCACTCATTGATTGATTCTTGTACGTGCCCTGACCAGAGATCAAACCTGCAAGCTGGGCATATAGGGACAATGCTTTAACCAATTGAGTTACCTGACCAGAGCCCTATCTTCTTTTGTACTGTGTGAATGGCTTGTTAACCAGGCACATGTATTACCTATTCAGAAAATATTAGTACATTTAAAGTATTAGCTCTTGGCCCTGCTCTGGAAGTTAGGATCTCCTCTGACCAGGGTCACCAATGTGGACTGAAAGCCTAAGTCCTCCATCCCACTTCCTGGTCACCCTGCAGTTGCCCTCCCCCCAAATGGCACCTATTCCAGGCTCCAATGACCTCTCATTGCATTCTTGCCCTGCTGTCCACTCGTGTTCACTGGGCCAATCTTTGGGCAGGG